GAATAGGGTATGGGGGTTAAGACAAGCCTGTAAAGGTTAAACAGCTAATCTAGCTAGTGTTGGGAAAAAAAAGAATACGATCTTTGAACTAGTAAAGAATCAAAGACAATTTCTGTTATTTCTTACAGTAATAAGAAATACATTCAGACAATGACACGGTAATCAAGGAGTTAAAAAAAAGGAAATGTAGCACACGTAAAAAAAAAGGACATCGGCAATTTGACGCCTTTTGAGATTCCCCCACTAAGCAGGAAGACTTAAGTGTTCTATTCATATAACATTTATACAGAGGCTCCTCGCATTTAGCACAATTCTACTCGGCTATCATAAGAACGGGAAATTGAATAAATACGATCACTTTATGCATCAAACGACAGGACTTCAATCTCCCGCTGCAATCACAGACACCGTGTCTTTGGGGGTCTCCACATTCCCAATCACAGGGAAGGTTTTATCACCATCCCATTACTACTCATATATATATATATATATATATATATATATATATATATATATATATATATAGTTATTTTCTGGCTGCCAGTGTGTCTATCTAGCTAAATAATATGATATATATATATATATATATATATATATATATATATATATATATATATATATATATATATATATATATATATATATAGGCCTATATAACGTAATCAGACAGCTATAATTCAACCTTTTTAAAAGAGTACACACATATTTTCAAGTTTTGCCTTCCTTCAAAGTGTTTTAAAACATGCATATATACATGTTATATTTGCCAAGCAAAGTGGTAGCAAGAACGTATGTTAATTGAGAAAGTAATTACCGTGAACCTCATGGATCGAAGTAGTCGACGACGAGGGTAAAACAAAATTAAACCTCGCTCACCAAATCACCAAACTAAGCGTCATCTACACTAATTACTAGCAAAACTTTCTCTCTCTAGACTAAACTTGGCACGCACCATCACTTCCTAGCTTCTTCAAATTAGTCGTATCACTAATATGGAATTAAGTTTTTAAAAAAAAATATAAGCGAATGTTTTTGTGGCGTTATTTTTTTTTTACTTTCGTACCACAACCTTTAAGGTAAGAGATGTAGTTATGGTAAAGGATAAGCGACCTTGTGGATTATCTACAAGTCGACACGTATCCCATAATCCGAACCTGGATCTCCAAAATTCGAGTTCTGATCTCGGCAGTGCTTTGGCTAAGCTCATTAGAGAAGTCTGGCAAGCAGGCATGGATTACGATTCCGCTATCGCATTGTACTCATGGAGAGTTTATCTCAGCAGGGTTAATTGACCCAATTATTTTTTTACCTGACGTAGTGTAATTGGTATTTTGATAATTAATGCCGCACGGCAAAACCCCGGGTTCAAGAGACGCTTAGATCAGGGGGTGGAGGGGTCAGGGGATCAGAGGGTGACCTGGTTAAGTGAATGTCCGTTTCAGATCAGACTGTCCCGAGGGTAGGACAGGTGAACCCCGTGACTTTCATTCATGTATGTGTATGAGGGGATAGAGGGGTCAGCACCACGCTGAGCAGTGTTTGATCTTTCGATCTGGTACTCATTAGAGCTGGGTGGACTCAGGGACGCCCAGCAGTTGGGTATTCATTAGAGCTGGATGGACTCATAGATGTCCATTAGATCTGGGTGGACCCAGGTACAAGATCCAGTAAGGTACCCATTAGAGCTGGGTGGACTCAGGGACGCTCATCAGTCGGGTATTCATTAGAGCTGGATGGACTCATAGATGTCCATTAGATCTGGGTGGACCCAGGTACAAGATCCAGTAAGGTACCCATTAGAGCTGGGTGGACTCAGGGATATCCAACAGCCAGATAGCCGTTACACCTGGGCGGACTCATTGAGGCCTACTTCATACAGTCAGGTACCCATTAGAGCTGGGTAGACTCAGGAACGTCGAACAACCAAATAGCCGTTATAGCTGAGTAGTCTCAGGTTCCTCCTTCATACAGTCATGTACTCATAAAAGCTGAATCGAATCAGATGCATTACACCGTTATGAATACACTAGAGCTGTGTGAACTCAAAAACAGCTTACAGTTAGGTACCAAATAGAATGGGGTGGGCTCACTAACATCGTACTCTCGGGTACCTTTTACAGCTGAGTGTACTCAGATACGTTGTACGGTCAAGTATCCATTATGACTGAGTGGACACATGGACACCCCACCTACAGATTCTCCATACTGCTTGGTGTACAATGACGTCATATAGACTGGAGCACATAAACCGATCTGTTTGACGATTTTTACGAGCGGCGAATCAGTGCCAGCTTATTATTCTACAGTTTGAATTTTTATTTTTATTTGTTTTTGTTTTCTTTTTTTTTTATTACACAAATCCTATCATAAAAATTAATTTTATTAAAAAAAATTAATTTTTTTTTTTATGTTTAATTTTTGTGTTTGTCTTTTCTTACTTGTAATTTATTTTTAATTAAATGGGTTGCGTTGATAAAATTGCAGTGTTTAAAAATTTGTATATACATTTTTGGTTTTTGTAATTATTGTTGCTTGATTTTTTTTTGTTGCTTATATAAAACGATTTCCTTTTCAGAGCTTTAGATCCACTGGTAGTTACATTGAGGTGACTTTAATTATGTTGCGTTACTTTATGTTCTCTTACTTGACCATTTATTACTTCAGTTCATTAACGTTGTGCTGCCTTAGTAAGATTTACCCTAGTGTTAAATTTTCAAAGCTTTTATCTCACCTATTATTTCTATTTACGTCTCTTTTCATCATGTACATTACCCCTTTCTCTCACGCTATCTTTCTTTATTTGTTAAATATTTTTATTTAAAAAAAAAAAAAAGTATCATTATCTCCCCTTACCGCCTGTCAGTTAAAAGTTACTTCCCTTCAACAAACTCCACATTCTAATCGCATCCACCTTTAAACCGCCCCGGCCCTACTTTGTTTATTTCTCGATCCTTTCGTCCCCCCCCCCCCCCCCCCCCCAGGTAAACATGTAATGTTTTGAGTTAGCCTCGCTTTCCTCCCCTTGAACTGACAAGCATCATGCGCAAGACGGGGCGCGCTGTTTTGCACCTCGCCGGCTCCTCGAATGTCGCCGCCTGTTGCTGCGTAGCCTGGCACCCCTCCCGGGCCGACATCCGAGAGCCTTTGATGTACGCCGTGTTTCCTAAGTATTTAACTTTTAAGTGGCGTTTCCACAAAAAAAAAAAAAAAAAAAAAAAAAAAAAATGATAAGAAAGAAAAATTTTTGAAGCATAAAAATGTAAACTTCACTACAGGGAACTTCCTAAAGTAAACAGACTCTGCTGTATTTTATTGCAATCAAAACCGCGTTTACGAGCATTTAAAAACATGGTAAATTCTAACAATTAAAGCCACGTAAAAACTCAAGAGGGGAGAAAACTGCAATAAAATTTGATAACTGGATTTGCATTTACAGTTAAAACAATAAGATTTCATAGCATGAGCCTAAAAATGCAATAATTTAACGGAAGCACGGAATATATATATATATATATATATATATATATATATATATATATATATATATATATATATATATACACACACTTATATATATACACATATATAATATAATAATATTATATATATATATATATATATATATATATATATATATATATATATATATATATATATATATATATATATATATATATATATATGTATATTGTGAATAAAGGTAATAGTACGAAAACACAACAATTTTTTTACACCCTAATCGAAATTCTCGACCTCAACTAACCCGTGAAGCCACGAGATCACGCACACAACACACCAAAGCACACCAATAAACCTTGAGTGTGTAGTGCCAACGCTAGAGCTGAAGTAGACGTATGCCCCGAAAGGCACGGGTCCCAGACTTCGGGGAAACCCGATTGATTTACGCACCAATTTCTTTCCCCGGCCAAATGAAGCTATTTATTATCATGGTTTCCAGTAGAAAGCAATCTCGGTGCTTTGTTTTTTTTTTCTTTTCCTTTTTTTTTTTTTTTGTTGACCTAACTTAAAACATTCTGTGCCATGCTCTAAGGTAATATTGAAAAACAATACAAAATTAATGATAGAGGGCTGTCTTTACTTTCCTGTAAATTACTTTTCGTAACACCGCAATTACTTTGTTTCCCTTCTGTTCGTATACATTAACTTAAACGTATTTAGTCACTCATCGACTAAAATACAGTCAGCATTAATTATTTGTGTTTGCTTTTTGAATTATTAAAGCACTAAATCAACGTGTAATTTTAGAAAAAAAAGAGTAAAATTTCAAAATGCAACGGAGCGCGCCGCCGAGTCTACTCAGTTTTATTTAGTACCTAGTTAGAGTCTAAGAATCAAAAGTCATTTGAGTATGGTGTTGTATATACAATATCTACATGTACCCGAAAAAGCTCTATTGTCCAAAAATCAAATTAAAAAAAACAACAAATAAATCATAAAAATCAATAAAGTACTGTAGGATCAATAAATAAACAAGACGTTTCGATTGAATTAAGCACTTTGTCATCGGGGTTAAAGAAGAAAACGCGGAATAAAATCTACACTAACACGTCTACAAAAGTGAAGAAAAATCCAATAAAGCATAGATTGGCACTTAATGGAAAAACACAGAATAAAGCTCTCGGCTGCAGCTCGACCTGTGAGGACATCATTGATCTCCCTTGAACCGCAGATCAGCTGGTCGATATTGAACTATTATCCGCCAGCTCTGTCTTTTTTTTTAATCTTTCGTATTTTAGATGGGGATTATTGATCGGGTTTATTGTTTTGTATATGGTTTGTTAATAAAAAAAAACTGGGATTAGTTTGTACTCACTTCTATGAAAAGAGGGCTCGTTTCGAAGTCGGACACCGTCTTTGATTGCCGGAAATTCACGGTTTGTCCGAGGTACTAACAAGGGGAGAAGGGGACTCAACAAGTGACTTTGTTGATCTGTCGAGAGGCGAGGTGCGTGGGCCAGGGTTCTTTTGTGTGGGTAGTTCTAGGGTTTTGTTTGATGTGGGGTTAGTGCTGGTGTTTGTTTGATGTGTGGGTAGTTCTGGTGTTTGTTTGATGTGGGGGTAGTTCTGGGGTTTTGTTTAAGTGGGGGTAGTTCTGGGGTTTTGTTTGATGTGGGGGTAGTTCTGTGGTTTTGTTTTATGTGTGGGTAGTTCTGGTGTTTGTTTGATGTGGGGGTAGATTTGGGGTTTTGTTTGATGTGGGGGTAGTTCTGGGGTTTTGTTTGATATGGGGGTAGTTCTGGGGTTTTGTTTGATGTGGGGGGTAGTTCTGGGGTTTTGTTTGGTGTGGGGGGTAGTTCTGGGGTTTTGTTTGATGTGGGGGTAGTTCTGGGGTTTTGTTTGATGTGGGGGTAGTTCTGGGGTTTTGTTTGATGTGGTGGGTAGTTCTGGGGTTTTGTTTGATGTGGGGGTAGTTCTGGGGTTTTGTTTGATGTGGGGGTAGTTCTGGGGTTTTGTTTGATGTGGGGGTAGTTCTGGGGTCTTGTTTGATGTGGGGGTAGTTTTGGGGTTTTGTTTGATGTGGGGGTAGTTCTGGGGTTTTGTTTAAGTGTGGGTAGTTCTGGGGTTTTGTTTGATGTGGGGGTAGTTCTGGGGTTTTGTTTAAGTGGGGGTAGTTCTGGGGTTTTGTTTGATGTGGGGGTAGTTCTGGGGTTTTGTTTGATGTGGGGGTAGTTCTGGGGTTTTGTTTAAGTGGGGGTAGTTCTGGGGTTTTGTTTGATGTGTGGGTAGTTCTGGTGTTTTGTTTTATGTGGGGGTAGTTCTGGGGTTTTGTTTGATGTGGGGGTAGTTCTGGGGTTTTGTTTTATGTGGGGGTAGTTCTGGGGTTTTGTTTTATGTGTGGGTAGTTCTGGGGTTTTGTTTTATGTGGGGGTAGTTCTGGGGTTTTGTTTTATGTGGGGGTAGTTCTGGGGTTTTGTTTGATGTGGGGGTAGTTCTGGGGTTTTGTTTAATGTGTGAGAGCGTGTCGAATGGGTCAGCTTTCTTTTATGTGTGGGTAGTTCTGATAGGGTAAGGTGAGATTGCTTTCTGTGTTGGTAGTTGAGGGGTAGTGATTTAAATTCTAGACTAATAATATAATGGAATCGAAAGGCAAAAGTGACAAACGGAACTGACCACACACATTCACACACAAACTATACTTACATACTGGAATAGTCTTGTCTTGCTCTTTTTCGGGACTCTTCCGCCTTTTAGACGCCTGACTCGTGGATTCTGAAAAAGACACCAAAAAAAAAAAACACATTTAGGAACTGTCGTCTGGAACTGGTCAGCATCAAACTCCCTCATTGTCTTACCCCGGCCACAACCTCCATAATCCTGACACCCGTCCCGACAGCCTTATTCCCACCACACCCCCTGTCCCCACCCCCAGCATCCAATCTATTACGTGACATGAGCTAAGTCTATCCTCTCAAATAGCCCGTGTCATCCCCTAACAATACCCCCGTGCCCATAAATCTCGACATATCCCCTGTGGTAGAGGAACCGGCCCGTGGGGGAGGGGGTTTGAAAGATTCGCCTCGAACAAAAGAAGAGTTGTGCCACACGTGACCGGCCCCGCAAGTCACGTGACAAGTTTTTATGTCTGACCGTAACGCCACCAGTGACAGATGTCTTCTTTCTTGTCTGCGATCAACAGACAGACATGGGAGATTACTCCATTTCAAAATCTGACTTCCAAATTTTCCAAAGCCCTTGTCAAAATACGACAACACTAGTGTTGTATTTAAAGTTTTAAAAAAATACATTTGTAAAAACACATCTAACAAATAGCTTTTGTTTTTTTTAATGTAATTAGTTCCGAACATTTTTCTTTAAAAATATGTCAGATTTGAAATAAGGAACTTCATTAGATTTGGAATAGTCCAAGAAATGAAAAGCAATACGGCTCGCATAATATTATGTCAGAACTCGCTTTAAATATAAAAGAGTAATTAGAAAGTATGATTGATTGGTTTACCATCAGTATGAAAAAAAAATCAATCAATTACCACATGCACTCACGCACGCACACACAGAGTGTTTCTTTCCAACTTTTTTTCACCAGGGGGAGGGGGGACGGACACTGTTAAAAGTATGTTTTCTATATAAATTCCATTTCGTTCGGGGAAGGGGGCGGTAGACTTCCTCCGGAGTGGGGGAGGAACATGCCCCCCCCCGGAACTCTGCATATATATATATATATATATATATATATATATATATATATATATATATATATATATATGTATATATACATATAGAAAGGGCCTATCCATGTGTGATTTTTTCCTTAGCTAAGCACTTTTATCAAATCCACGTGTCATTGTCTATGCATGATGTCTCGGCCTCAAGAACAACGCAAGCAGACGTCTAACATAAGGTTGGAATATCCTGTTTGGTGCGTAGCTTTGTTGGCACTGCCGTTTCCTTGGGCCGGCGTGATATTTTAGGTGCAGTCATTCAAAAGACGCAGGTTACAGTGATAAAGTTGGAGGATATGAGTAACACGGGGGCGACAACAAACAGGAGCATACTGTCAATTCAATTTTTTAAAGAAACATAGGATAAAAATTTAACATCGGCGTCAATTTTTTTTTTCTTTTTTTTTTTAACTACACATACAGTTATATTTAAACTTGATAACCTCACTCTAAAATGTTCTATCTCATGTTCGTACAATAGGTGTAAACTTACCGCGAACTCATTTTATAAAATACAATTAAAAAGTATAAGATGTTTTGAAACAGCGCATTCGAAAACATTGAATACACAACTTGTTTTCTTTTGGGAAGGAACATTGTGCATACTCTTACAAGCTAACATATTGGAAAATATACAGGAAAATATTGCTCATAGTCCTAAATGTAGATATGGACATATACTTGTGAGAATATTCCTTAAACTCACGTAGATATGTAGGCCTACATACATATGAGAATAAACATACACGTAAACCAATACATACACATGAGATTAATGCCGAAAACACGTACACGTATATATATATGTATATACACATGAGGATATTCCTTATACACCTAGACAGAAACATACATACATATGATATATCCAGCGCCTGTGTGGTCTGAATATGATGCCAGATTTTTACAACATTGATATCAGACAAGCTGATTTTATTTATGTGCCAAGTAGGATGTGTGTAACGATATCCGCTAAAACTGGTCATAATCTGCGCAATGTTGCAAGATTGTCTTCTTTATATCATAAAAATCGGCTTTCACAGCCATATACAACCATGGCGCTTTTAATCTGTTTTAAAATGCTTGCTGGCGGTTTTCATAATTTAGATTTTTCTGTTTGGCGGAATTCTCTGTTTCGAGATTTTAGGGAAGGAGAATATTTGCAACAAAATATTTTATCGTTTTAGCTCAAGTATTGTTTACCCGTGGAAGAGTTATAAACAGCAGTAAGAAATAGTATACTTTTTTATACTTTAGACAGGGGTAGGGGTGGACTGACTGCGTCCAAGGGGCCTGGCAAATTTAAAAGTGCCCCCCCCCCCGCCCCAACCCCAGATATAACTTTTCATTTTTGCATTTTCTTTCTTCATCATCGCCAGAATTATTTGCCCTTGTATGAAGGAACGGAGATGGTAAAATGGTAAATACCGACACATTTTTTTTAAAATTCAAAACACTAAGACGTATCGTATGAGACTATTAGAGCACCATTCATAGGGGCCCACTGAAAATTTTCCCGGTAGAAAGGTGAGCCAGTCCACCCATGACTCTAGGTATATGTGGTCCTTCTGTTAGTAATAAACAAGGTAGTGTGATTACATATGCGACGTTTTGGTGACATAACAACCCCCATAGAAACTTATATGGTGATTTAACAATCCCCATAGAGACTTATATGGTGGTTTAACAATCCCCATAGAGACTTATATGGTGATTTAACAATCCCCAAAGGGACTGACATAGTGATTAAACAATCCCCATAGAGACTTATATGGTGATTTAACAATCCCCATAGAGACGTATGTGGCGATTTAACAATCCCCATAGAGACGTATGTGGTGATTTACAATACTAAAGTATTAATATATAATATTGAATAGGCTGGAATTTATAACTAACCATAAACTTTGTTTTGTTTTTTCAATTTTTTTTTAATATTTAAACAATATTTTTTGCAATTTCTTAATCAGTTACCCGTAATTGACTTTTTTTAAAAGGTGTCCCAATAGTTTGGGGATCCAAAATTAGATGAAAAAATCAGTTATAGCCGCAGTTAAAAGCATGTCATCGATATTGACTAGAAGTATTTTATAATAAAGCTACTGTTTATACTTTTAAACAACCTAAAGTTAAGAAGTCAATTGGTAAAATATATTCTTTTGACAAGTTACTTAACTAATATATAACAAATAAGGTATAATGTTTAAGAAATCAAATTTGAAGAGTTTTATTGTGTTTTTCAAGTCTTAGTTACATTTGGTTCATTTAGCTATTCTTGTGAAAGTTATTTCCCTTGAATTAAATTTTGGTATGTGGATTTTCAAATGGGAGATAATTCGTTGCTTAACTCTACATTCATTTCAAATTCCCCACCTTAGGTTGACCGCTTACTTATAAATACATCTTTAAGTTATTATTTGCTTTTGTAAAAAAAATTATATAGAGCAGAAATTCTAAACAAAATATTTTGGTAGTTTTTTAACATTATTAAGTTGAAAAACAAATGCATCAGTAGCCGTTGTAGATTGCTATACTAAATATTAATAGACATACAGTATGAGATAGTGTAAATTTGCAGTGGGGGGGGGGCTATGTCGTAAATTAGACTCTTGTACTTGGCAACAATTTCAATACAATGCGATTACGCTTCCACGCCGGAATTGAAGGAATTAGTACAAACTTTTGCTACGAAGGAGGCAAGCAAAAATTGATTCACCGGAACTGCCTACACATCCTACACATACACACAATCCACTCGGTCATACTCGAACGACAACAATTCTCCAAACCACTTCTCAATTATCTAATTATCACTTAAATAAATCCCACCCCTTTCAAAATACGAGAAAGTTAAAATGAACAACCCATTACATTATCAAAATCGGGTTTTCCCTAAACAAAAAACCCCACCTCACCATTCCCATGCCAAATGTAAAAATATAAACCGTTGTTTTATGTTCCTTATAATCCCATCCTAACGCATGTCTTATAAACGATGCATCCCCCCCCCCCCCCCCAAAAAAAAAAGTTCTAATTACACAATTATCTATTCTCCCCTAGCCAATTATTCCTGCGATAATCTCCGCATGTGAACTCTCAGCGATGCAGTTGACCCGACCCCCCCCCCCCCCTTCCGATTGTAAGCGAACACGCGGGCCATTTAAAAAAAAAATAACAACAGACAAATAAATTATCTTCATTTATCAGGTGTCCAATTTGCATATTCACATGGAGCTGGCGAGGCGCCTCCTGCAACAGGAAATAGGTTTGCACCGGAGTGCACCAACATAAATTGTCAACGTTCAGTTTACGGCCGCGCAATTTTTCATGTTTAGTTTGGTGTGTAAGTCGTCAGCTGATAAAAGCTAAACAATAAACATTTTAATTGCTTAATTCGTGGGTTATGTTACCACACTGATATCCAGATTGTTGACAATGAGGCTTCTGTATTAATGATTGCTTGATGAAGTTAACAATTTGTCATTTGAATGTGTGAACCTTGATAGAGTTAACAAATGGGCATCTGTTTTTGTGATGTTTGATAATGTTAACAATTGGGGATTTGGGTTTGTGTTAACAATTCGGCTTTTTTAACTATGACATTTGGTAACGTTATCTATTGGGCATTTGTATTTGTGATCCTTGATAAATTTAACATTCTGGCATTGTATTTGTCCTCCTGGATAAAGTTAACAATTTGGCATTGTATTTGTGATCCTTGATAAAGTTGACAATTCGATATACAGGGATATATGTTCCTTCTCAGTTGCGCGGTCGCGCGGCCGCGCACTGGTTTTGAACCAGCCGCGCGGTCATTTTGTAAAACACATATATACTTCTATAAGAGTTTTAGAACATCGCGCCCACTCAGAGCCGGCGTTAGGGGGTGGCAAACGGGGCGGCCGCCCTAGGCCCCGCGCCTGAAGGGGCCCCGCGCTTCAGCACTGTCATTGTTATCTGAATTAGTTCGTAAACTTAAAAAAAAATGTTGCTGAATTCAATGGGGAAAAACTAAATGGTCGAATGCCGAAGTTGTTGATTGTTATAACTGAGTCCACGGTTGATGTTGGTGAGTTATCACCCACTGAACTGGGAAAGGCCGTAATTCTATACAAATACAGTGTCACACACCTCCCCTTTGTGAAGGGTACGGTCGCCTGGCATTTGACCTGAGCTGACTGGAGATTGTTGGACGCGAATCAGGCCCCGAC